AGAGGAATTAATGAGCCAGCGGCGGCACCTATGCGTGGAGGAGACTCATGGACAGTAGGTGGCCCTAGGAACTTAACACCTTCAACAGCACACAAGCCATTCATTCCATCATACAGACTATTTGAAGATCTAAACGTTTTTGGCAACACAGATGCAAGACTGAAGGTGGCGAGCAGTAGTACATCTGCTAGCTTAGCCGGAGCTTCTGGCCAAAGTATGGTGGGTGGAAGGAAGTGAAAATAGCTCATTCATTATCTGAATATTTTCCATGTTGGTATACAAGTATCTTCTTCATCTTTGTGATGTATTTAAGACAGATTGGCAGAACATAGTTTTCATGTGATCATTGATTATGGCATTGAAGCAAAAATGTGACTTGTAAATTTTTGTTCTGTTTATAAAATCGTCTACTTTGTCATGCTTTTTTTTTAACAGACCTGAACCCTATTGCGTGGAAGATGTAAAAACGTAACAGGAGAAGGTATTTGGTCGAAGCATCCCAGTCTCCAGAGTTGGTTTATTTATTTATTAATTTTTAATATGCGAATGCCTCAGGGCTGAAAGTAAAGAGCTATATAGAAATCTATGAATTATTAGGTTGTTCGTAAAGCATAAGTGAAATAAAGTTAAATAAGGAAGAGTGAAAAGATCACGTGCAAGAGCTGTTGGGAAAGTGTTTCCTAAGGCTTTCTTCGGAATAAAATGGTTAGGAACAGCTTTGTTTGTTTCATGTAAAAAACTACCCCATTTCAATTGCACTGAAATTCGACTGATCTTTTCTTTACTTTCCTCTGCGTATGATTTGGCTAGTTTCAAAATCTCATTATTTATACTGTTGAGCTTTTATGATTGTAAAATGACAAGTTCTTTTACCAGTTTGAAATAATCTTTGCACGTTTGCTTATTTATTGTATGATTAATTCTCCTACTCCAGAGAATTTAAATACTAGAAAACTGGAAAAAGTAGGAAAAAAAAACCAGAACTTTGAACGAGTTCATAATGTCCTCATCTCTTCTCCACGATTGTTCCAGTTTTCCAGCTTTTCTGGTTCCAATTCCTCTAGATTTCCATCATTTGGTTGTAACATGATTATTGGGGATTTTGTAGAATATATGGATTTACGTTGGTGGATTTTGTGTCAATTTAGACATGGAGGAATTGACCCATATATCCGATCATTTACCAAACATCTGATGCCAATTTCTGTATATATATTATATATATATGTAACAATTTACCACTCACAACACAAAGTAGCATTCCCATATGAATTATGATACAGATTTGACGGCTACGATCTCTAGTATTCTCAATAAATTTACATTGAAGTTTAACTGTTCTTTTTTTCCCCTTTTGAAGTTCAGATCTTGGACATCGTGTAGTCCATTACGTCCACAAGAAAATCTGCAAGAAAGACAAAGACAATTATAAATATTCCAAACTTGTTGGTCATTCAGATTCAGACACAGACCATTTGTGAGAAACCAAGGATTGATTTTGACCTGCGTCTTGTTTAGTGAAGCAGAGCGGAGGAGTGATTCTAAACACATTCCCATGGCACCCACCTTTCCCGATCAGCAGCCCCAAATCTCCATTTCAAAATTTAATTATCATGTCAGATACAAAATAACTAAAAAAATTGAGTATTAAAAAAAAAAAAAAAGAAACCTTTCATTTGGTCCATGAGGTGCAGAGTTTCAGCCTTGGCTGGAGTTTTAAGCTGTCGGTCGGTGACGAGCTCAACGCCAAGCATCAGTCCTCTTCCTCTCACATCTCCAATAACTGCAGTTGTTTTGTTTGATTAATTAATTCAATTTCCAACTTCCAAAAAAAAAAGTGGATTAATTATTTAATTATGTACGTTGATGTTTATGTTGGAGCGCAGTGAGCCTGTTCTTGAGATGCGTGCCGACGTCGAATGCGTTTTGTTGAAGCTTCTCCTTTTCGATTACTTCCAAAACGGCCCGGCCGGCCGCTGTGCAGACCGGGTTCCCTCCGAAGGTGTTGAAATAACTGCTTCGAGTCAGGACCTGTGCGATCTCTGGAGTCGTTACCACAGCGCCCAGTGGGATTCCGTTCCCAATTCCCTACAAACAAAACAAAACAATATCAAAATTAACATATATTTTTTTTAAATTGTAATAATTTAATTACGTACTTTGGCCATGGTGACGATGTCCGGCACAACGCCTTGGGTTTCAAACCCCCAGAAGTGGGATCCTGTTCGCCCAAACCCGGCTTGGACTTCATCAGCGATACAGAGCCCGCCGGCGTTTCTTACGATTTTGTACGCCGCCGGCAAGTATCCAGGGGCCAGTTCAACGATTCCACCCACTCCCTGATACCAAAAACAGAAGAATGAGAATGATATTGCTAAATTAATGATTCCGATGGACAACTATTAAATCAATTACTTGTATAGCTTCGGATATGAAGGCAGCGATATTGCCGGAAGTTCCATAATGGATGATTTCTTGCAGGTCTGTGGCGTACTTCTCTCCGTCTGATCCGAAGATGCCTCTGTAGGGGTCTGGATTCTGAGCATGATGAACCCCACTCTATGTATTATAATATTAACCGAAATCAAATCAGTCATCTAATTAAAAAAAAAATACAGAGAGAGAGAAAACAAACAAACAAACACCTGAATGAGGTTGAATTTCCAAATGCTCTGAGCAGTGGCGGCCATGGTAGCGGCGGCATTACCATGATAAGAGTTCCTGAGAGAGATGACGTCGTGGTTGGCAGTGTAGAGCCTGGCCATCATCAGCGCCAGCTCGTTGGCTTCTGTTCCCGAATTCGTAAAGAACACCACCTGTGCCAAATTCCCAAATGCCCAATTGCCTAATTTAATCTCAATTAATTGTTAATTAGAAATTAAAAGAGAAAAAGAGTGAATTGACTTTGAGGTTGGGAGGCAATTTGGAGGCGAGTGCGTGGGCGAAATCAGCGATGGCATTGTTGAGATAGAGAATTGTGGAGTGTTGAAGGCGTTTGGCTTGGTTGATTATGGCCTCCACCACTTTGGGGTGGCAGTGGCCGCAGCTCACCGTCGCGATTCCCCCGAACGCGTCCACATATCTCCGCCCTTCCTCGTCGAACAAGTACTGCCCCTTTCCATCCACCAAGTTTAACTGCACCACACCCCAAATAACGCCCTTCAATTCTATTTTTCACTTTTTATAATTAATTAATACAATTACACGTTCCCAAAATGCCAGAATCAGAAATAAAAACTAACTAACGGGTTTCTTATAAAAGCAGAACATGGAAGGGCTGAGGAATTCCTTCCGCTTCGCCATGATCTCCTCCGCGGAGGGGCCGTCGTAGGGCGGAGGACAATACTCGAAGGCTGGCAATTTCGGGATGATCGCGGCCTCGTTGTCACCGCCGGAGATCTCCTTCCGGCCGGCGGCCTGCACAGAGAACCACCGTCGCCATCGGGTACACGACAATCTTTCCCCCAATATCCGGTTGCCTGTAAATCTGTGCATTATTGTTCCTCTTTCGTCCAACTCTGCTTATGGAAAAAGGAAATGCAAAATTCGTGTATGAATTACGAAAGACGAGAGGGAAGGTTTGTTGTTTATAAACGAACGGGCAAGAGAGACGAAGGGAAAATGATGACCTGGCGGCTTCTGGTTGGTTTCTTAATACCCATAATTACCCCCACATCTTCAGTAAATTACAGTGGTTCTTCCATAAATAGGGAAATAAAATACGGCAATATTAACAACAAATATTACATTGCATTTTCTGGCACTCACATATTACATTTTCTTTTGTTAGTAAAATAAACAAATTAGTTGTTAATTAGACGCTCAAATATGCTAAAGTTGAACTTAATTCTATGAGGTGTCAATGGCCACTTGACACATGTATTACATTTGATTTAGTCCTCATATGATCAGAGGCGTGTTAAGAATAAACTAAATATCTAATTAAATTCATCTTATAACAAACTTTTTTAGAGTGCATTAGGAACCAATTATATATATAATTAAACTCATCTTATAATTTAAACTTCTAGAATTAATAGAACTTAATATATATTCCTTTGACTAACCACAAATTTTGAGGGCATATTTAGATGATACAAATTATTTTCAGATTCTCTAAATCAAATGGATCAATGAATATAAACTATTTTCAGATTCTTAGGGTCCAAACTGTCGAAATTGTGAAACAATATTTTTATATTTTCAATTTTCAATGTTTCAGATTTTGAATTTGAAATTTTAAAATGCAAAATTACATTAAAAAATACAAATTTGGATAAATATACATCAGGTTAAAAACTCATCTCATTTTTTGTTAAAACTAAAAAATTAAAATATAATATATTATAAAATATATAATATTGTAAAATAATAATTATATAAAATTTACAACATATATGTTAATAAATCAATTCTTATTATTTTAGATTTAACTAAATATTTAAATAGTAACTACCACTAGCTTACAAATATATTAACAACAGACTTTTAAATTGAGATTCAATTTCCAAGTCTGCTACCAATCACATTTCTCAAATTAAAACACTGAAAACAACCATGTTTTCATTGAATTCTTTGCTTTCGGATCACCAATCAAACATATCCTTAAATTTTTAGAGTTTATTTTATCAATTTGGTTTCTTAGTACAATTATCTTGTTCATCTAATTCTATGTTTTTTTAATAAATTATTGAAATTTTGAGTTTATGTTATTTATGTTTGATTGATGAGTCTAAAATACGATTTAGACTAAAGTTGAAGTCTCTTAATTTCTAAGGGAAAACACAATTTTATTATTTGTGATATAGGATTATTCAAAAAAAAAAATTGTGACATAGGAGGTGTTGTTTGATAATAATAAATGCCTAATTTGAAGGAAGGATAAATATAGAAAATTATCAACCTTCAATATAAAAATAGGTTTAAATATTATTTTAGTGTTGAAACGTATCCATAAACTTGTACTAAAAGATTTTTATTGTAAATAAAATTTATATTAAAATATTACCCATAAAAATTAAAATAATCACCTTTTAGAAAGTATACAAATGAAAATAAATAAAGTGTATGAATTAAAATTACAAAAACTAAAAATAAGAATATTAAAATAAATATTTTAAAAGCAGAAAAAAACATTTAAACGTAAAATATAACAAAGAAACGACAATACTCCACGCTAAACCGAGAATCCTTATGCATCTACTCTGAGTTGGAAATCTATTTTTTATTTTTTGAAGAGAAAGAGAGAGAGGATCATCCCAACAAATCAGCAGTTCATTAATCCTTCACCAAATTAACTTATCCAAACGGCAGCCTTTAAAGGAAATGGGTCACCTTTCCACGTTGGTTTTGGTGTCCATTATTCTCCAAACACATATAAAATCAATCCTAAACTATTTTGATTCATTTTCAGTTTTTGATGCACTCCCACTTTCGTTTCCTTTATCTCATAATTTCATATATTGCACTTCTGGGGAAAAAGAACATCCTCCTTCTTTAGGATGCTTTTGGAGAGTTTGATTTGTTGCTAATTACATTCAAGAAAGCTCATTAATTTTCCTTTTCAATTACGGTTCTGATCAAACAGCTGTCTTCTTAATTAATGATTTAACAAAAACAAAGAAACTTTCCATTTTCTAAGGCTTGATTTACCCAAAAGTGTCAAATATGTTTTATTCATTTAATCAGGCTTGAACGAGCGTATTCAACAATATTAATTTTGAAAAAAAAATAGTTACTAGGTGAAGCAAGGTCATCACAAATAAACCTTTTGGACCTTCCAATTTGAATATCTTTATTTTATAAATTGTTTTGTTTGCATATCAGTAAAATAGAATGAAATTATCTATATTTATAATTCCACCCATAAACAAAGTCAAAGACCTATATTGGAGATTACGTTTGTTTGGATAATATCTAAAGCACAATTATGATATATATTACTTATTAAACACATCATTTTTTTTTCCATACATTCGTAATAATATGATATTGTCTACTTTTTAATCTAATTTTTTTATATATACCAAAACATACATCCAAAATATTTATGGTTTTTTTTTTAAGTTGATGCAGAGCACAGGCCATCCGTGCAATCTCCCATCATCAACCTTTTGTCAATTCCTACATATCTCTTCCAACAATAATGACAATTAAATAATAATTGTAATATATAGAGAGAGAATGAATGTGGTTGAAATAAGGGGAAGATGAGATCAGGTAAAGAAGTTGATGGAGAATGAATGTGTTAAAAAATAAGAAAAAATTAAAAAAAAAAATGCATCAATTTCAGCAGCCTATAGCTATAGCGTTTCCGAGTCTCTCCATTTTTGTTTTTGTTGTGTTTAATATAACTTATTATTGCGTTGTAGAGTGGAGCAGCTACTTCCTTCGTGTCATGTCTTTTGGTCCCTTGTTTCTTACCAACCTAGCAAGTCTCGTAGTTCTCCACGCAACTGACTGAGGTCGGATGCTTTCGGTGGGGTGAATACAACTTTTAATTTCTATGCGTACAAAAGTTACACAACAATACTAAAATACATACGTAACTATCTAAAGTTGTCACATATTTTTCTTAAATATAATAATTAGTGTGTTCTCGAAGATTGTAAATAAATATATAAAGGTAGAAATATTTTAAGCTCCAAGAGATTATAGAGAATTCTTTTTTATAAGAATAGATTAAGAAGTATATAGCTAGAACAATCTATTTATTTGAGCTTCATGGATTTTTCTTCTATAAATAGGAGAGATGTTTCCACATATTAGACAAGAAAATCAAGTGAAAAGAGTGAATCAAGAGTAGCTAGTACGTGAAGAAAGTGAAAGTTAGAGTGTGAGAGAGTTTTCTCTTAAAAAGTGTCCATTTGTACACTTTCGCCTAATAAAAGTTTGTTTCTTTAAGAGATCGTTGTACTAATTTCTTGTACAAGTAGTAACCGAGCTGCGTTAATTTATTCAACAAACAATCCAACTAAATATCACTAAACAAGAAGCTATACACTAATGTGATGCTTGCGAAATAGTGGTCTTCAATACTTATTCAAAATTAACGGCTATATAGACTTGGTAGATGGCAGGTATGTCCACACTTACCACATGCTTAATAACATATGGTGAGCTATGGCGTAAGATCACTAGATCTTGTTTGGAAAATTTTTTGGTAATTTGAGAAGATCATGCATCCTTTCATTTACTGCTTGTCAAATCATCAGCAGTGTATTAAACATGATATGAAGACCATTTATTCTATTTTTAAGGAGTATGGTACTTCAGTAGTACCATAAATTGTCTCATATTGTCCCTATAATTTACATAACTGAAGCACCTACTTTTAGTTAAACGAGAGTCCATATTGGAGGTATGGTGATTTGAACCTCCAAGCTCAACGAAATAAGAAGGTGAGCTATGCTCTTAACGATTAATTATGAGAACTTATCATTGTTTATGGTTACTAGTTCACTCCACTAATTAAATCTCCCAAAATAATGATGTTGCATCATCACCCCATGCCATTTCTTTAATCCTCAATCAACTCAATCGGATTAATTACATTTATACGTAGTAACAATCAAATTAATTATATTATACATAGTAGTTCTTGTACTAAAAAAATTGTAAATACTAATATGTGTACAATCTCAGTGATAGGATCCATCGTAAATGAATTACACAATACAGCTTTTGTTTTTAAAGTTTCGTCAAGGATTTACCAAAAGTTTGGGAAACTAGAATCGAATTGAAATGTGTAATTCAGGCCCACTAGTGCATTCAGAGCCCAAAGAAAACCGATGTTCACTTTAGGGCCAGATCATGTATCATGGCTGATCGGCCCGTTTATTCCAAATTTGAACAGGTTTAAGGAGCCCAAAGTAACTGGACCGGGCTTCATTTAGGCTGGGACCGAGCGTCGAACGAGCCCAACTTGCCCTGACGTGGAAGATTACACGTCAGTGAAACGTGAGAAAAAAGTCATCATAAAACGTGTCATACGTGGACCCGAAACGTGGCAGACAAATAGAGCATCAAATCATGGCAGTGAGGAAAAGATGCGGCCCACTAGAAAGAAAGTGGCAATCGATACATACGGCCAACTCCAGCCTCTTATATTGTTTGGTTCGGTCCCACATGCCACGTGGATCCCTTTCCTTAACCTACTTCCACTCCCTTTTCTCCCTCCTCAACTTCAACTTGACATTATAATGTGACAAATGCACACAAATTTGAGCCCGCACACATATAAAATATTCTTTTTATGTATATATATTTTTTAAAGTCGAAGCAAACATATTATATACAACCAAAATGTTCTAAGAACTGCTAACAGAAGGTTGTATAAATATAAATATCATAGAAATTTGATCATCCTCTGAATAAATGTCACATAATTTCTGTAGTGTCACTTTAAAAGTTTATCACAACAATGATGAAATTAAATTATAGACGATCCATAGATAAGGTACATCAACTCAATTCCATTTAATACAATAAATATATGAGGTGAGGACTTAAAACGATGAAAAAATTTGCTTTAGAGAAAAAGAGCTACAATGCTACATAAAATTTTTTGTACAATTGTGGCTTGGCAATTGATAACACTTTTTTTTTGGTTTGAAAAGTGAGCAAAAGAACACAATTATCATGATTTTTTCGAATACAATAAAAGAACACAATTAAAAGCACAGTGTACCTAGATAATGTATAATTAAACAAAAGACAAAATTTATTTACAAAAGAAAAGAAAAGTGTGAGTCACATGGACAGGCTGTAGGCGGAGAAAGCTTTAATTACTGCTGGAATTTACTTTAGCAATTATGGATAAATAATAATTAAGAATAACTGGACCTGGATGCAATTAATGAGTCCACTAACATTTCAACGTTGCCATAGCAGGCAAAATGAAAGCTCATTTCCCTTTTCGAGAGTGGAAATTGGAATGGGCTCACTCTCACTCTCACTCTCACTCTCACTCTCACTCATAGTCAGAGCAGGCAAAATTTCCCCCGAAAATTCTAATGCTCCACCTCCCGCAAACATCCAATTTCTTTTGGTTGTCGATTTTGAAAAGTTCGTCATACATTTCCGAATTCCGCCGATGAAGGTAGCTGCTCAGTTTTGTTTTCTCATTGTAGTTTTGTTCAATCTGGGCCATGCCCATTGCAGAACTGATATTTTTACCGGCTACCAAGTTACTCTGGCAGTTCCGGCGGAGTACGGCGAGGGGTTCATCGGAAGGGCGTTTCTGATTGAGACCCAGCAAATAACGCCGCCCAGTTTCCGAGCAGCCCTGGCCGTGGAAGCAATCGAAGGGAACTTTTCGTGTTCGCTGCAAGTTTTCCTCGGGGGAGTTAAGGTGTGGAGCTCCGGCCACTTCTCCCGGTTTTACACGGCGGAGAAATGCGTGCTGGAACTCACCGGCGACGGGGACTTGAGGCTGAAGGGTCCCGCCGGCCACGTGGGATGGCGAACGGGGACTTCCGGACAAGGCGTGGAGGTACAGGAAACCGAAAACGACGTCGTTTTGTTCAGTTGTTGAATGGAATGGATGGTTGAGTTGAGTTTCTGACTGTGTGTTTTGAATTTGATGGTGACGGTGCAGAAGCTGAGAATACTGAGAACTGGGAATTTAGCTTTAGTGGATGCTTTGGAGAGCATCAAATGGCAGAGTTTCAATTTCCCAACCGACGTTATGCTTTTGGGGCAGAGCCTAAATGCGAATACCCATTTAACTTCCTTCCCCACAAACGCAAACGCAAACGCAAACGCAACCTCCTTCTACTCCTTCGAAATCGAACCCCAAAGACTGGCCCTCTACATAAACTCAAACTCTGCCAAATCCAAGTATTCTTACTGGGAATTCAACCCTCCGAACAACATAAACCTCTCATTTATCACACTGAATACGCAGGGTCTGGACATCTTCAGCGACCAAGCCAAGAAAATCGCAACGATCCCGTCACAAAGCGAACAGCCACTGAGATTTCTGGCGCTGGGGAACAC